TTTAAATGCAAGAGAGAGTATGTATGAATTGCTTGAAAATTCCATACTTCCATGACTTGCATACTAAGTTGCTTAATACTAGGATGGGGTGGCTGCAAAATATTTCGTCATGGGCTTCTAGAAACGTTTCATGACATAGAAATGTTTCATGACAGATATTTGATTTTAATTTTGAAAACCATTATTTGCCAGTAAATATATATTTAATGCTTATTCTAATGCTTTAAAGTTTAAATTCTCTTTTACTTTATCCCCCTGCCTAAGCAGATTCAGCAAGATGATGCAGGCCACAATACTTGAACTATTAAATCCAAGTATGAGTTAGCTTAGATTTATTATATTTAATTTGTTAATCTTATCTTCACTGGCATTTCAAATAAAAAAAAAACATGTTGATTGATATAAGTATAATGAGCAATCAATTGGTTTAATAAAAATTGAGTTATTGAGAATTTTAAACCCTAAACTATTACGGGAATAGCATCTTGAATCTTGAATTTTTAAAATGTGCAAAAACATTTATCAACTTCTAAATTTTAAGCATACAAAACATCGCCGTTAAGTTAGAAAAAACAGTCATTACACTTGTAGTTGAGAGGCCTAATCACATATTGATGTAACACTTATCTTAGCTTTTAAAAATAACAGTTATTTTTTTTTTAACAACAGTGAGGTTTTAAGCACTCAAAATTTAAAATTTTAAAAAAAAAATTTACACATTTAAAAAATTTAAGGTTCAAGATGTTATTTACATAATAATTTAAAATTTAAGATGTTTATTAATTTATAAAAAAATTACATTTATAGAATAATTCTTTTGGAGTCACTAGTGACCTTCAAAATCTTCTATCAAGTCTTTCAAACCTTCTTTAAAAGGTGTAAGTCATGAAATCGATGTTCCAACTCGTTTCTAGCACCCTTTGAATAAAGCAAAAGAAAATTGAATATATATTTATATATATAAGATATATCAAAAAAATTTATTATACTGCCTTCAACTCCTTTTTTTTTTTTTATTAGAGATATTCAACAGGATGATGCGGGCCACAATGCTTGAAGTACAAGTGTAAGTTAGCTTCATGATATTTATTAATCTTATATATTTATTGGGATTTTTTTTAAAAAAAGTGTTAATTAATCTAAGTATGCCAAATTGGTGATAATTTAAAATTCGCAAAGCAGAACAATTTGTATAGTGTCATTAATTAGCGACCTTAAAAATCTTTTTGCAAGTCTTTCAAACAGCGGTTGAAAAATTCGGTAGGAAGCATATGAAATTGATATCCCAACTAGCTTCCAACGCCCTTTGAAGAAAGCAAAAGAAATTTGAAAAATATTTTAAAGATATAACACTTGCTCCAACAATAATATTTCCTCATGCCTCAATCCTCAATCATATATTCGGCCAAAAATTAATGTTTTAAAAGCCAAATCCAACATTGAATTATAAAAGTTAATTGTTCTCAATTTTTATGGTTTAATTGATTAGATAATGGTTGAATCGGTAATGTAATAATTAAATAAAAATAATATTAAATGAGTGTGTAATAAATAGAAGAAAAAATTTATAATATATTAATAAAATAATATAACATGACTGTAAATTAATAATATTGTAAATTATAATTTTATAATTTATCAAATATATATAATTTTGATAAAATTAGATATAAGTAAACTCAAAAGTATTTACATTTGTATTTATAATTGTCAATATTTTTTAAAAAATAGCTTTAAATCGTATTTTATATATAAATTATCCAAAAATAAAGTTGGCATTAAGTAGGATTTAATTTTTAAATTTTTAATTTTTTTAAATTTATTAAGCTTTTTTTAATATTATGTTTAAAACCGTTTGATTTTTTTAAAATTGTTTTGATTTTTAGTTCAACTCTGATTTTTGCTTTAATAGCGGCTCAACTTCAATTCAATCTAACTCAATCATGAAAGTGATTTTTTATCCAAATTGAGCCATAAATGGCTCTAGTCAATGATCTACTATCCGTTTGGATTGAGAATTTAATCGATTTTAGGGGCAAAAAAATCGATTAAGTCATAATTTACCCAAACATCCACTTTTTTCCAAAATCGATTTTTTCCCAAAAAATTGATTTTTTCCCAACGCTCCAAATCTAAGCTTCTCCGCTTTTGCATTTTTTTGTTACAAAGTTATATGAGCAAATTACATAAAAAGTCCAAGAAAAAAATCACAAAAAAAGCACAAAATTTAATAAAACTAAAACAAAATTTTTTCTCTTCTTTTTTTTTCTTAATAAAATTTGAATTTTAAAAAAATTATTAACATGAGTATCCAAACAGATTGCGTTATAACATAATTAATTATGATTAAAATCTACCACTTAATCAATTATTTTCATAATCTATTATACCCAACTGAAATCCAAACGGACCCCTAATTAATTTGACCATCCAGTTTGATTTGGTTTTTAAAATTATTGTCCAAAACAAAAACAAAAAAAATCATTCAATTGTTTAAAAAAATGAGTAATGAATGACAACATCAATAAACGATAAAACAATGCAGTGCTTATCTATTTCATATTTGCTTGATTGCTTCCCAAATGTTGATACAAACGCTTTGTTTGTTAGACTAAGTAGGTTCCCTGGTCTCAAAATATAATAAGGTAGTTAACAATATTTATTTTCCATTAATAACATTGGGATTGTGTATGGGATGTGACAAAATCAGAATGACTCTATCCCGTGTCGTGTCCCACAATGATCGGAACAAAGATGGGCGAACAGGGATCAAAACTTGATGAACATCCCTTGCGTATACGTCTATTTCACCGTTCTCTCTCACACGTTTTTTGCCCTCTCCTAAATTTGTCTTCATGCTCCTCTCACATGTTTCTTCATTTGCTTTGAGTTTGAGACGACAAACATGAAATCAAACCCAACTTATAAGTTGGGATCAATTCTTTAGCCTTTTACAGGCACTTTCCTGGTTGTCTCCTATCATGTAACTTAATATGCATGTGTATATATGTGTGGTGGAGCAACTTTTAAGTTAACTGTGTAACTTTGCAGTGGTAAATTCACTCAATTGTTTGGACTTTTTGGGGCCGACATAAATTGCTTAAACCTTAAAAAAAGACAAATAATCCAATTGTTTAGCTGTTAGCCAATTACGTTTGCGTGTGTCATTCTTGGCATATCCCGTTACTTTTAATAACACTAATGCCTGCGTAGGGGTTCACAAGTGGACTCAGCAAACTCTTTAGAAATTAGAACAAAAGAATGAATTAAAAATGGAAAACAACTCTTTTTCTCTCTTTCAACTTTTTCTCTTTTTACTTTCTGTGTTTTTCATATTGGTCACGATACTTCAATGTCCTTCCCGTAATGATATTTCCTAGAGTGTTCAATGGGGTGAGGTGGGACCTGTCTCGTATCCCATCTCAAAAAATAATTAAAATTAAATTTTTATCTCATATTTTTATCAACCTTGAAAGACATTTTATTTTATTTTGTTAGAAATTGAGATTAAATTGAGACAAAATCAAGATGTTCTGTCATTTCAAAAATAATGTTAAAAAATATCTAAATAATAACATTATTAATTAAAATTTTAAATAACATAAGTTAATAAGTTTAAAACTAAAACAATGCAAGTACATAAGTCATAATAATTTAAAATCAATTATTAAATTATATCAATTACAACTATAAGTGTATAATTTAAAGTTAAATACACATGAGATATAACACATTATAATATCAATTATAAGTGATCTTCAAGCTATAAAGGTAACAATAACAGACAAGTCAGGTATAATATTAAGTCATTATTATTCTTCTTTAATTAAAATATATTAAGCTAATGACTCTTTCAAAAAATAAAATAAAAAATATGATATAGATAAAAGTTATTAAATAGATATAAATAAAAGTATAAATTATATTAATATAATTAATATCTTGTAAAAAAAGATATTATCATGTATTGCTTACTCTGTTATTAAAATTATCATTATCAATATAAAAAACTTTTAATTTTAAATAAGAATTATATATATTGAAATTATAATTGATATAATTGATATATTTAATATATATTTTTAAAATAAAAAACTATATATATATATATATATAATATTTAGGACAAGACGCTTCCAAAGATAATTTCGTGTCTCATTCTATCCTGTAAATTTAAATATTGTTAGGCTGAATTGAAGATAATAATTTTTATAAACATTTATTTGCATTTATATAGACCTGAACTTCAGACTCATACTTGAGTGATTATAGTCTTTTTTCTTTTTGTGGCCAGCAGATTATAGTCTATTCTACTAGTATAATGCAGGGTGACAAAAATGACATTAATTATAATGAAAAGATAAGATATTATGAATGGGGCACAGCCCACAGGGAGAGTACACATTCATGAAGGAAAACAACGGAAGATCTTTTTTATATTTTTAATGTAAGATCATGTTATTAGCATATGATCTTGTGATTCAGAATTAATGTTTGAAAAGTGAAAACAAAAGTACAGGATCTTGAGTTTGAAGATATTCAGAATTAAAAAAGTTCTAAACCGAATCCCATGGATTATTGCATACTTGTGGGCAGATATGGTCCCCAAATTTGGCTTGTTTGATTCCTTCTATCTGATAGAGACAGTGGAAAATACAGCTAAATCATAACCTCAATTGTCCAGCCCGCCATTTATGGCTAATCATCTTGCTTTAGCCCTTCATTTAGGTTCCAAAAACACAGGAGTCCACGGACAGTGGAGAAGAAAAATATGTGGTATAAAATAATATTATATTCAAATAAATGTAACAACTTTTGTATTTCGTTTTTCGAGATTAAAATCTTAAATTACTTTCCCATTCCAGCATCAATATTCAAAGTTCAAAAAACACCCCCCGGTTTTGCCTTGTTCAAACTAGAAATGACACAGACCAGGAAAATCAAGTGAAGACAGAGGAGCCACCAGCCACCGTCAACTGCCTCTCTTATTCAGTCCACCTATCTACACTTCGCCGAATAAATATAAATTGTCTTGTTCATGAAGAAATAATCATTTACTTAATCTTACTTTCACAATTCACTCAGATTTCTCTCTCTCTCTTTCTCTCTCTTTTTTCCAGAGAGACATGGGAGGTTTTCCTAATCTCCTCAGCTTCTTCCTCCTCCTCTTCTTCACCTCCCTCGTCTTTTTCTCCAAGGTCTCAATCTCACAAGATACCTTAACTGCGACTCAATCTCTCGCAACAAACCAGACCCTCTTATCACAGAAGCAAGTTTTCGAGCTGGGTTTCTTTACTTGGGGCGCTTCCAAATGGTTTCTGGGAATCCGGTACAAGAATATTGAGGGTCAAACTGTTGTCTGGGTGGCAAACAGAGACAACCCACTTGGGAATTCCAATGGAATTCTCAAGATCGGAGACAGAGGAAACCTTGTTCTTCTGGATCAAACAGGAAATTCCATATGGTCCACGAATCAGACCACATCTTCGCCTTCAAACCCAGTTCTCCAACTCTTAGATTCCGGGAATTTGGTTCTCAAGGAAGCAAACCAGAACGACCCCTCGAAGTATCTATGGCAGAGCTTCGATTACCCCACAGATACTCTGTTACCGGGCATGAAACTCGGTTGGGACTTCGACACCGGAATGGAGAGGCACATAACGTCGTGGAGAGTCGCCGGAGCAGACCCGTCCACCGGAGACTACTCATTCAAGGTCAATTACCATGGCCTCCCCCAGATTTTCCTGCTAAACAAACAGAAAATAGTGTACAGAAGTGGGCCCTGGAATGGCGAGAGATTCAGCGGAGTTCCCGAGATGCAACCGGGTACAGATTCCATCAAGTTCAGCTTTTTCTCCGACGAACACCAAGTATACTACACTTTCTCGATCGGGAACCAGTCGCTGTTCTCGAGGCTCTCTGTGACCAACACCGAGCTTCAGAGAATGACGTGGATTGAGAGCACTCGAGTGTGGACCAAATTCTGGTACGCTCCAAAAGACCAATGCGATTACTACAAACAGTGCGGTCCGTTCGGCGTGTGCGATGCGAACGCGTCGCCGGTTTGCGTGTGTATGAGAGGGTTCAGGCCGAGGAACTTGCAGGCGTGGAATCTGAGAGACGGGTCTGATGGGTGCGTGAGAAACACACAGCTGGACTGCGAGGGAGACAAGTTCTTGGAGATGAAGAACGTGAAGCTGCCGGACACAACCTCGGTTTTTGCCAATAGGAGCATGAACATTGTGGAATGTGGGGATTTGTGTCTCAGGAATTGTAACTGTACCGCGTATGCTAACATAGAGATCACCAATGGCGGAACTGGGTGCGTGATGTGGAGCGACGAACTCATTGACATCAGGCAATATCCTCACGGTGGACAGACTCTGTATGTCAGATTAGCAGCTTCTGATGTAGGTATGTTTCTTCTTCCTTTGTTTTCTGTGTTCAGTTCTTAACTCATGGATGTTATTTATTCATTCTCGGAGAATATTTCATATTCGTTTTTTACTTTAGAATGGTCTTATTCTTGATAGGATTGGTTCAGAGGTTATTTTAATTTGGCTAGGTTTTGAATAAAGTCGGTATGGTGGATTTTAGTTCTAGGCTTAGCTAATGAAAAAGATGAATGATATGAGGCCGTATCTCAGAAGAAACTATCTAATCAAGTTAGTATCTGCCATAGAAAGACGGTGAAAGAACTTCACGACTCTTGGGAAAAAAGGATTTCAATTATAAAAAATTAAAAAAATCAGGGTAATTAAGGAAAGGAAGTACCGGAAATTAAGACGTGGAGGTTTCCAGACAAAAACGAAAGCAAGACTTTTTTGTCGTACATGGGTTAGGTTTATGTGTTAAAGTATTTTGAGATTATTTATTTTTGATCAATCTAATAATTTATGGGAAAACTACTTTTTAGAGTCATTTAGGGCCTTAGTGGAGCTAGTGTTAATGAAAACAACATAAAAAATTTTACGTAATCAAATTTGAAATTAAAAATGAAAAAATATTTAAAAAAAGAATATAACTTTGCAAAAAGAAAAACTCTTTTAAAAGAATTAGGAAAAGGTCTTTGTGTGTATCATGTGTAAAATGACATTTAAATTCGAAATAATAAAAGATTACAATGATTTGAAGTTACTGTCAATACCTTAATCAATTGCAGACATATAATTGAAAATTTATGAGGAAATCATATTATTAATAGTAATCGTGTAACTTAATTTTAAAATTATATGGGCGTATGAGGTGTAAATGCGGGCTGCGAAGGGGACAGATGGACACAGGTGCCCACGTGGCTGGGGGAACGTTTATTTTATTTTAAAATACTTTTGTGGGGCCCTTTTGCTTTTGTGCCTTTTTGTGGCGACTTATTCTGATTACATCTGTCGCTTCTTCAATTCACAAGTGAGGGTCGTTGCCACCAAGTCAATAACCCTTTCGTTTCCCATTTTGAGCTCATTGGTAATAATTTTCTGAATTATTAGTCGAGAACAATTTAATTTAAGGGAAATTTTACAAATACTTAAAATTCATTTTTTAAATAAAAAATTATGCCACTTTAAATATAAAATCTCTTCGATTAATGTGTTTTAGTTTCCAAAATAATTCTAGTTCATAATAATTTATTTTCACACAATTGGAAAATGATGTTTTTTCTGCCACCAAAAATGAGCAGCTGGATTCTTAGCATCTGTATAATAATCATCATAGATATTGTGAGATCAAATCCTGCCATTGTAAATATTTTGTTAATAAACAATCTGTAAATGTTTCATGCTTTTAGAGCGAGGAGGAATGCCTTGACTTTTAATGAATTTCACGATTTAATACACCTAAACTTTTATTTATTAAGAAAAGAGGCAACATAATCATTCATCTTTATAGTATTATTGAGTTTTACTATTAATCCTTATGATTTTTTTTAATATATTTTAGTCTTTATAGTTTCAGTAAGCTTGAGTGATGTTTCAAAACTTAATGAAACTATGGGAACTGACAATTGTGTTTTTCCATTGACAAAAAAGCAAAGAGATGAAAAGTGTTTTTTTGGGATAAAGTAACTTTTAGTCCCTTAAGTTTGTCTCAATTATCAATTTAGTCACTCAAGTTTAATTTCTATTAATTTATTCTTTTAAATTTATTTTAATTATCTATTTAATCCTTATTGTTTCAAAAAGAGATTGCATGGTTAAAATTTGCTAACATAATATTGATAGCAGCCGTATAGATCAATGAAAAAAAGTATAATTGTTAAGGTAAGAAAAAAAGACAGACTTTGGAATTTTAAAAAATAGGAAAATAAAACACATTATAAAGGATTAGATTGATAATAATTAAACTTGAGAGATTAAATTGATAGTTGAGATAAACTTATAGGATTAAAAGTTTCATTATTTTTTGTTTTTTAAATGCCGTTGCTTTAAAAGTAGCCCTGGATTAAGTGCATAATTGAAGACTTTAGTTGAGTTAGTGGACCCATCAGATTTAAATGTTTGGGTCTGAAGCGTTGCACTTTGGGCCGACTTTTTTGACTCCAAAGGCTCTCCTCCTTTTTTCCCTCCCCACTTTTCTCGTATTTTTTTCGGTGGGATTAGGTGCCCCTCTCAACGCCCACTTTATATCTTTCAAATTTCGATTCTTATAGCCACGACATTTCTAATAATAAAATATAATTTTAATATTAAAAAATATTTTTCAAGTTCTATAAAATGGAATCTATAAATTTGCTTTTAAAATGTAATAAGATTTCCCTCCGTTTTGTGGTTCTGATTTTTCTTTCAAAAAAAAAAATTAATTTATGTCTTTCCTCTTTCCATCATTTTTTCAAGGTATGAACCAGTTTTTAGTTACTTTCTTTTCAGACTACAATATAAGTCATTGTTAATTAATTTACGTTTCTAAAAAAAATTTGTTAAAGTTTTTATTTTCTAAATTTTTTTTACATCTTTCCAACTATGTTCTTTAATGTAATAAATATTATATTTGACTTATTTAAAACACTCTCGTTAATTAATCAATAAAGTAAGGATGTATTAAAAAATGTGTATAACACTTATCCAATATCTTATATTTTGGATCAAGCAAAATTTCTAAAAAACAATTTATATTGTGATCCTTTTTTCTTTTTTAATGTTCAATGTTTACATCCTAGGTTGGAAGAGTTACTAAATACTGACATGATTAATGTCATTAAAAAGAGTTGCTTATATATACATACACATGTATAATTTACTGCGAAAAGCATTGAACTTTCGATGAATTGGAGGAAAAGCATGAAATGGGTATGTCTACTGACAGAAACATTCTTCTCTAACATTTATGACATAGGATCTGCTAATGGTTCTCACAAGACAAAAGATGTCGTCAAGGTTGCTGGAATTACAGTTGCTGCGGCTATTATACTTTTGGGATTGGCTCTCTTTTTCTTATACAAGAAAAAGAAATTGCGACGCCTAATCAAAGTGAAAACAGAATACAGAGGTAATACAATAAATACACATGTAATGCTCCAATATAACGGGCTTATGATATGCAGTTAATGCTTTTTTGTGTGAGAATTCCAGGATCCTTAGAGAGAAGCCAGGATATGCTAATTACTGAGGGAGTGATTTCAAGTAACAGAGAGAACTCGTCAGAAAGTAGCAAGATGGAAGACCTGGAGCTGCCATTATTTGATTTTAATACTATAAGAATGGCTACAAACAACTTCTCTGACTCAAATAAACTTGGACAAGGTGGTTTTGGTACTGTTTACAGGGTAAGTTGCTTTAGTAGCTGGCAATATATCCGTAAAGCATCATTACACTCCTAACATGAATCATGGGGGACTATATCAGGGTAGGCTTGTGGAAGGACAAGAAATTGCTGTGAAGAGGTTGTCAAAAAGTTCTGTGCAAGGAATTGAAGAATTCAAGAATGAGGTCATGTTAATAGTTAGGCTTCAGCACCGAAATCTTGTTCGGCTGTTTGGTTGTTGCATTGAGATGGAAGAGAAGATGCTGATTTATGAATACTTGGAAAACAGAAGCCTTGATTCCATTTTGTTTGGTGAGTTGTCTTAACATTCTGCATCATTTGACTTAATTAAAAATTAAAAGCTTACTCAAGTTTGTGATATCTAATGACCCAGACAAAGCAAAAAGATCTTTGTTGGACTGGCAAACGCGATTCAACATTATATGTGGAACAGCTAGAGGACTTCTTTATCTACATCAAGATTCTAGGTTTAAGATCATTCATAGGGATCTCAAGGCAAGCAATGTTCTGCTTGACAGAGAAATGAATCCAAAGATATCAGATTTTGGGATGGCTAGAATTTTTACTACCGACCAAACAGAAGCAAATACATTAAGAATTGTTGGGACATAGTGAGTATCGTGATAATTCATTAGTACTTATCCTAGAAAAAGAAAATTCAACTCAAAAGCTTGAGTTTTTTTTTAAATAAAGATCTATAACTATTTTTTATTTTTATTCTAATCTTTAAATTGCTCCCTCAAATGAAAGCTTTTAAAACTTAAATGTGTGTGATCAAATCATGATCTTGCCATAAATTTAACTTTAACTTAGAGGATGGAAGAGGCAAGGATCAAACTATAATGATTTTTAAGTGAAGATCCTATAATGATTTTTATGTAATATTTATCAATTCACTGTAAATTTCCATACAAAGTGGCCTCACAATTTATATGTTCTTTTGATTTATAGTGGTTACATGTCTCCTGAATATGCTATGGATGGAATCTTCTCAGTAAAATCAGATGTTTTTAGTTTTGGGGTATTGGTGTTAGAAATCATTAGTGGCACAAAGAACAGAGGGTTCTACTACTCAAACAAGGAGCTAAATCTTCTTGGACATGTAAGTGAAAGTTTCACCATTGCTGAAGGATAACTTGACAACATTGTCTCCTGCCAACAAAGTATTCATTGTTTTCTTGCAGGCTTGGATGCTGTGGATGGACGGAAATGCTTTGGAACTGGTAGATTCATCCATTGGTGACTCATATGTGGAATCTGAGGTTCTTAGATGCATACAAGTTGGACTCTTGTGTGTCCAAGAGCGTGCAGAAGATAGGCCAACAATGTCTTCAGTAGTTTTGATGTTGAGTAGTGAAACTGCAACAATGCCACAGCCCAAAAGCCCGGGATTTGCGCTTGGAAGGAATCCTGTGGAAACTGATTCTTCTACAAGCAAGATAGATGAATCATGCACTGTGAACCAAGTTACAGTCACAATGCTAAATGCGAGGTAGTAGAAGTATCTTTTGGCATATCTGTACATTCCCAAAAAGTTTCAAAAAATTGTCTCTTTGTTCCTTTTTCTGATATAGCTGCGGAAACTGTAAGATCCATGTCGATCTTGTTTTGGTGCAACATTGAAGAGATACATTCATTAAAGTTTACTGCTTATCTTTTACACCCCCCCCCCCAAAAAAAAAAAAAAGGTTTGCCGCTTAGCTTCGTATAATTCAACATCTAATTGTATTACATGCTCATACGTTGTCTCAATGCGGTCATGTTGCTTGCTCACAGTGCCGTTTAAACTAATAACTAGACACGTTTTCTCAGACTACATGGAGGTTGAAAAATGAGCTGCATCATTCTTAACTTATAAATGTTATGATTTGCTAAAAAAATTTATTATATATTGATATATAGATGTTTGGAACGTGTATGGGTTACGTGTGAGTTACCATATGCAAATACTGTAAGAAACACAGGAATGCTTCAAAAGGCACTTGAGAACCTGAAATTTCAGGCATAAATTCTGGTAGCAATTTTTTCTGTTGATGATGGTCAACCTTGATCCTACATGCTTCAAAATGGCTTTTTGTTTAAAAAAATTTTTGGGGGGGGGGGGGGGGGGGGGCCTACGGCCCAACCTGCATTGGGTTTCAATTGCGTAATGAAATTTCTTGTTTTCAAACCCCTGCTGATGATGATCAACCTTGATCCTGGACGAAGATAAAGCAATCCTCTTGTATAGCCCATGACAGTGATGGTGCCCACTTTGTTTTCCTCATATTCTGCAATTTTCCTCATTCAGGATCTGAGCAAGGTCACTGAAAGCTCACTTAGAAATTACGTTATGTTGTCACATGAATACAAAAGGAACTAAGAATTTTTGCAGCTGGATAAGGTATGTCGCTTAATCTACTCAGATGGGTGGTGATTTTGTTTGAATCATATTTAATCATCAGTATTGTTCACTCATTCGTGCAGTACTAGCTTAGCTTTTATTAGACTAAGAAACTGACCAACTCTGAAAAACAAAAACTCCAACTAACAAAACCTAATTTCTTGATGAGATGAAAACCCATTAAAATGCATATAGAATATGGCATCCTTGCAGAAAACTGTCCAGATTACAGTCAGCGTACCTAAAGATAACCGTGAAGCAGTACTAGCTTAGCTTTTAGAGAGAGAGAGAGAAGAAAATTAAACGTTGTGGGTGATGATTATCGGGTCCCCGTCTTAATCAGAACAGTGGGAGCCATCACCATTTCTGGTTAGCTGAATCAGTGCAAGGTTTGTTGCTACCATACGTGTTTTAGACTTCAGTCCAGACAATGACATAGATGCCATCTTTTATGGAGTTATAAATTAAGGATAAATTATGCCGCGGAAGAATTTTTTTTTTAATGCAGTTAAAAAAAAAAGTGATCTGAAAGTAAAACCTAGAGTTCGATGATGCCAGGCCCATTTTAGTTGTGTCGAGCTTGAGAGCCGTGAAACAGAATATATTTGTCATCAACTTGCACTCCATACTTGCCTGTTACTTCCCTGTGTTTGCAAAATTTAATTATCCATAGCACTTGTATCTACAGAAAGAAAATTAGGAGTGTTTCAATGTCTGTCAAGGAAAGCTTCCATGAGTAATTCAATAATTCAAATAAAAAACTGAAAAGAGAATCCTTAGATAATGGATCATTGGATTCAGAAATGCTTCATTATAGCTGACCTTCTAATAAGGACACCTGACCCATGGGTAGGGGCCAACCCTATATAATATTAGATACTGAAATCAAGTGGTCCAAAAACTGGATACATGTCTAGATTCATAGAAATTGCAGGAAGCTCATTGATTGCAAAGAAAACACAAGAGATTGTTAAAAAAAAAAAAAAAAAGCAAGAAGCAGCTAAAGAGAATTAGGTTGATGGGTACTATGACTTTTCAGAAAAAGAAATCTATATGTATTTTACCCTGCGGCTGTATTTTAGAACTGGACCACCATTTTGCTGGATAGTTAAACCATTTTAAAAATACCCCAAACGAAATCCCTGTCACTGGGGTCCTGTTTACCTGTATAAACGGCTCTAACGGCCTTACACATGGCACTTTCTCGCATCACATTTCTGTCTTCTATGACAAATACAAACATCCCAGAAACCCCACATCATTTTCCACCATCATTATTATTATTTTTCCTTCTGAGTTCTGAGCAGTGGGTTATGAGCACGTCTTCACTTGCTTTGAGGTTGAGATTTCAGAGCCATTCTTATCCATTCAAAAGCAAAAACGCATTGTCTCTTCCTCTTTGTTTTTACAGAGCACAGAGAGCCTCTTTTTCTTTGTCAACCAGTCCGAAGTCTGTCTCTTTCTGCACAGCTGTCGCTCCATGATTGTACGGAATGCTCTTGCCCTCTAATTTCCTCTCGTTTCTGGTCCGTCCCTTTCGAATCCCTTGCAATATTTTATGGCTCGAAGATAATGCACTTGGTATATTTAAAAAAAAAAAAAGATTTGGCTTTTAGTTCTTCTCCACTAAGTTGCTCCATTTCAGTGAGCGTACTCTGATGCGAAATTGAGTTATGAAAAAGATTTGAGTAGTTTTTTTTTTTTTTTTTTGGGAAAGATGAATAAGGTTGATAATGATGATAGGAACAAAAGAGAACCACGAGTTGTCTAGGCATGAAGGGCAAGAGACCTGTCAAATTGATGGTTTCTTACACTCTTGAAAACAAGACAATTGAGAGCATGCCTCCACCTACTCAAAACCATACGTATTACAACACAGTGCAAGTCTGCCAAAAATTGATGATCCAAGGAAGTAGATAAAAAACAAATTTGTTTACATGATTCACCAAGTAAATTAAGTAATAGTCATTATGTTACGTACTTTTTTGCATTGATCTTATTCAATATTACAAAGTCTAGCAAATAAAATTAGGTTAACATTTAAAAGTATATTTCCTCTATCCAGTTGTTAGTTGACTTGGTGGTAGCATCACATTTTTTTTTTTATAGGAAAGGTCCTATGTTCAAATTTAGTATTGACCTTTTTTCACAAGAAAATGCTAGGTTATGGTAATTTAAAAAAAAAAAAGCATACTATTCATCCGCATAATATTATAAGATACTTTTAATTGATTTATGTTTCAAAGAATTAGTTAATAATATTTAAAATTACCCATTTTCTCATGTTTATTTTTATTTAATAGGATATCTCATTTACAAAAAATTATTATTCACATCATTAATTAAGGATTTTTTTGTAAAAACCTTAACATGATGCCTCACGTAAGGTGTTTTATAATACTAAATGGAAAGAGTGACATTATTTAATCCTTTTTAATCTTTTTATGATTAATAATTTGAATTGTTGAGATTGAGAATAATATGGAGGTTTGGGCTTTTGTTACTTGTGTTGTGTTTGTCGGAAATATGCGGATTTTGGGATGATTGGGAGAACCATCCAAGAAAATTTTGATCCTTAATTAGTAACTATACAAACCAACAATTATTCTTCCATCTTAATGTCCCCCCTGTCTCTTCTCAATGTCTTTTTCTTTTCTTAAAAAAAAACACACACACACACACACATTTGATGGGACAACACGCACAAAACTCCTTACAAGATGCTTTAGGAAATCTTTCTATTTTTTAAAACATGGAGTAAATCCTATTGATAATAGGAATTATTTCTCTTAAAATATTGAGATTAAAAGGTAGATATTTCTATCAATAAAAGTTAATTCAATTAGTAAAGATTTAGTGCCAAACATTTTAAATAGCATTTGGATTAATAAATTTAAATTTAGATTTTAGATTTGAAATTCTACATTTCAAAACTTGTATTTCAAATCTATGTATCTAGTTTAAAAAATAAAAAATATATAAGAGGCACATCAATATCAAGAGTGAAAAAAAATATATGGATATCAAGAGTGAAAATATGAAGAAAATGAAGAAGATGTTTTAAAGTAATTAAAATTTTAAATTACTTGCACATGGTCGAAATTTAAAATTACAATGAAATTATAATAAAAAATAAATTTGTATTTAAATCAAATTTAAATTCATAATTTTTGTATATTCGAATGAAGGATTTGGTTCAAATCCAAATTCCTAGTAATCCAAGCATACTACTAAATCATAAATTAAAAAAATAAATAAATTGATTATTTATAATTAGCATGGGGAAATTTGTGACATTTTATTAAAAAAACTTCTACCATTCGGTGATTAAAATTAATTGTGCATATTTAAGTTTAAAAAACTCCTTGATTCTAACAAAAGTGCAATAAAAGCCCTATAATATTAAAAAAATAAATAAAAAAAGAAATTTATATTTTAAGAAGTGTGCTTCAACTCATATTGTACATAAATGTTATGTTAATACTTTCTTTAACATTATAATATTTTTTTTAAAATTGAGTGTATGAAAATATAATATATTTTTAATATTTTAAAATATAATTATTTTTTAAAAAGCTTTGGCGTTGATTAAATAAATTTACATTTATTTTATAATAAAATACAGTAATCATAAAAGATATAATTAATTTAAAAAAATAATTATTTTATTAAGAGTAATATTTGATATATTTTTAAAATAATAAATGAATATATATTGACGTTTATAGCATGACAGGTGTCATCAAGAGGGAGACGGCCTACCAAGTTTGGACTTTTTCCAAATTTGTTGACTTCACCCTCCACCCTCCCCCAAGTCTGTCGCAATCAGCTGGTCAGGTCAGTGCTCTTTCTTTCTTTCTTTCTTTCTTTTTCCTGGGAAAAGTGAAAAACAGTTCACGGTCCGTGCTCTTTCTTAGAAAGAAAAATTTAATGAATTGGATTGCAGAAGACCACCGAGATTACGGTATGCTTTTGGGATGTAAGGATATGAATGACAGGTTCTGAATATTCATGCTTCATTTGTTATTCCACTTCACTTTTTAGTATTTTTATATTACTTTTTACTTCTTCCTGCCCTTTATACACGATAAAATCTGAAAGGTTATTTTAGTCTTTAACATAATATGGAATTAGAGTAATTACTGTTTTTCTCAATTTCATTCTTTATTTATTTATTTATTTCTTGTTATTTGAATTTCTAAATAATAATTTATAATGGTTATCAATTATAAAGATAAAATTGAAGAGTTATATAATTTTTTTTAATTATAAAATTATAACTAATATTTTTTAATAAATGTGAAATTAATTAACTTCGTTTTATATCAAAGACTAGAACTAGAATGGTCCCTTTCGGCTAAAATGCCTGAAGTTTATTATAGATTGGAGATGAAATCATTAAGCAAAAAACAATTAATTTCGATCCTTTACAGAGGATATTTTAGGAAAAATACTTTAACCCATACCTTTGTAGTGAGACTTCTAATTAGGGACACAGTAAATCTAAAAATTGAAACTCATGATAAAGACGAAGGGAATAGTTCCCTTGCATAAAAGTTAAAACTGTAAAACATTAATTAACATTTTTTTTAAATTACCCTTATTTACTTTTAAATTTTACCAAATTTTAAAAAAAATTGTTTCGTTTTAATTGGGATAAATTTAGAAAGCCATTTCAATTTTATAAATTTTAATGATTTAACTACATAACTATACGTGCCATATATTTAGGTCAGAGAGATATGTATATATTGATTTGTTGACTCATATTAGTCCCAATTTATTGAACAAGTAAAATGCCTGTCCATCATGTAGAACAGTAATTTTAAATAGGTGTAAATTGTAACATTTTAAATTTTTAATTCATAACTAATTAAAACAATTAAGATTAAATTAGTAAAATAAATAATAAATTAATTAAGTTAGTCATGTTTTTAAACCACTAATAGACTTATTAAAACATTAGACAGTTTTAGGTTAGATCAAGATAAGCATGGGATAGACACTACTGTGAAAAGAGGCATACTGGATAGTTCTTTTAACCCATATTGAATGGTAGACTGTTAAATATTTGTAAAATAAATATTGGATGGTTATAAAAATTATCTAATATTTAAAATTTAATATTAAACAGTTGTAGCAACAACCATTCAATATTTTTTTTTTTGGATCCACAAGTCAATAAAACATAAAAATTTATAATAGTATATTAATTCAAAATTTATAATAAGTAGTGACAAAAAGTCTTTACAAACATTAGAAAGAAACAAGTAATATAACACTTATATCGGTGGAACAATATTAATATGGAAAAATCATCCAATATTCATATATGATAGTCTGATAAATTAAAATCATATACAAAAGGTAAAGACAATAAAAAATGACAAGAGCATTGTAAACTGCAAATAAGCTTTCCAATAACATATTTTCTACTATAACAGCCTTTTATGGATGAAAAAAACCAGCAGCATGATTCAAGTCTCCAAGACAAACAAAGATTTGTTCTTCAAAGCTTACTAGTTTGAAGGCCTTCAAGATATTAGCAGCTTCCATCCATTGCTTCCCACAACAATCAATTCTCCATTCTTCTTCCAAACTTGAACAGCCACACGAGCTAATCTTTCTTGGCCCTGAATTAAATTGAAATGTCAATTAGATTTGGATCATATTGGCTTAGATATTTAAACTAAAAACCTTTAGTATATTACCACGGCTAGTAACTACATAAGAAAAGATAAAATCTTTTACAATTACAAGTTGGCTGGTATATGAAACAAAAAGGGGGTGGGGCGAGAAAAGTTATATAGGAATCATTGAAAGTCAAAGCATGCAGTATTTCTAAATTCTTAAAGAACTCAAAAAATAGTTGTTTATTCAGACTCTAGTGCCATGCAAATTAATTGGCCCTCTATTAGATATTTTGATGTGAATGTTTAAAATTAGATCCAAGCTTTGCTTATTTTCAATTGTTTAATGTAAAAACAGAGCAAATTAGGCAAAAAAAAAACAAAAGAAAAAGAACAAGGGTTAAGGAATTAATTATGGTTCATCAAATTAAGCAAAAAAAGAAGAGACAAGAACCGTGTATAAATGAATCATTAAACCTTCCTTTGCCTCCATAGTCTGGTGAATCACCTCAGGCCACCTCCTTTTCTCTTCAACTCTTCCTTTCAACTCAAAATTTGCATCAATTATGTTCATCATATGATCAGATTCATATTGAAGAATCAGCAGCAAAATGATAGTCATTAACTACTAAAATTAGTGTCATATACTGCTTATGGATGCGCAAGAAATTAAATGTCAAATATTAAACTTTTAAAATACATATTAAACTTTCATATTGATAATTAAGGCCTTCCCATGTCTGGCTATATATTGCACATCTTGGTATTTTTCAAAATTTTACATCTTAGTATTCTACATAAATAATGATAGTTCTAAATACTTTATTACTAAATAGATTAATATCTATATTTTGAAATTTAACATCATGAAATTCAAATTATTAAATTGATTAATGTTATACTTTATTATATTTATAATTCTCTGAAATCATGAAGATAAATTTGAATACTCAAGCACAAATTCCCTTTTTTAAATATTTAAATAGATAGATGTTAATTTAAATTTGAATTCCAGTATGTGTGCATGTGTACTAAATCATATGAACATAGATTTTTGGAATATTTTTAGGGTGGATAGAAACTTTAAATTAATAGATATTAATTTGAATTCAAATATGATCAAATTTGAATTTCAAATAGATAAAAAATAATTTGTATATACATCTAAAAATTAATAGTTCATCACACAATTAACTCCAAACTTGAATAATATTATATATATTTATATATTAAAAAAATAATAAATCATCCCTAACCTGACCCCAAACTTGACTTTGTAGTATAAAATCACAAGAAAGGCATTCCGAACCATATAATTGCAACAAATTTAAAAATAAACATATGACATTCTTTTGAAATTTTGGCTAAAATGTATAAAACCTTTCTGAACTTTAAGATAGTTACATATAACTCTCTTATCTTTAAAAGTTTAAAATTAACCCCTAACCTGTAATTTTATTTTTCAAAACCCCTATTGTTAATTATATTATTTTTTCATAAAGGTTAAAATGTCATTCAACTAAAAATATTATTAAAAAAAATATTATATTGTATAACTATTTATAATAAATTTTTTATATTTTTCTTATTATCACTGATAACAAAAAAAGTTATTATCACTATATAAAATTTTAAATATTTATGTTTATATTAGTTTTATCAACATTTTTTTGTTATCAATGGTCCATAATTTTATTGTTTTAAAAGATAAATTTTTATTTATATTTTATGTTAGATTAATGTAATGCATGTGGCTAAAATATTTAAAATTTTAAATATTATCATATTAAATTAATTTTTCTTTTTATACTAGAAAATTATGTACCATTGATAACAAAAAAATAAAAAAACTAATACAAAAGTAAATATTTAAAATTTTATATGATGATAATAACATTTGTTTTGGTTATTATTAATGTCTCAATTATTCAAAAAATATAAAAATTTATTGAAAATAGTTATACAATATAATATTTTTGTTTAATAATATTTTTTATTAAATGATATTTTAATCATTATAAAAAATAATATAATTAATAATAGAGATTTTAAAAAATAAAATAAAAAATTAGGTCAATTAATTTTAAATTTTTAAATACAAAAAATTATTTATAATATCTCAAAATTTAAAAGAATTTTACACATTTTAATTTCAAACTTTTAAACCTATTTTTATGCATACAATGATTACACTTTACTTTGTTTTCACCACCGGCACCGCTAGAATTAATGATTTAATTCTTGTAATTTATTCTCCTGAATATAAAAATATTAAAAATTTATTGCTAATCCCCGGAGAGACGTTACGATTTGTGGCAGGCGGTAAATTAGATCATAGGAGGAGGGTAATGTGGTCATTAAAGTTCCTCCATAGCCCACAGCATCCGGGGGCTTTAAAAAAGCGAACAGCTTCCGGAGACGAAAGACCTTTCAGCCAATAGCCTCCTAAACCTCATAAACCCTCATCTGAGAGTCTGTCGTCTCTTCTCTGCGACTCATCAGCTTCTTCGAGGGAGAAAGTTGAAACGAGAAGGAGAGAGCTTTTTTATATCAATGGCGACTCACCTTCCTGACCACTTCAAGTGTCCGATTTCCCTTGAGATAATGTCCGACCCGGTTATCCTCTCCTCGGGTCACACCTTTGACCGTGCTTCCATCCAACGGTGGCTCGACGCCGGTCACCGGGTTTGTCCAATTACCAAATTACCCCTCCCTGATCACCCTTCCCTCATCCCCAACCATGCTCTTCGAAGCTTGATTTCCAACTATGCTCTCATTTCGCCTCTCAAGCAGCAGCTGCCTCCCCAACCTGAAACCCTAATCTCCTTGCTCACTTCTCGGTCTTCCCCCTTGGAAACTAAAATTGAATTGCTAGACCAACTCACCCGGCTTTCCCGGCGTGACTCGGTGTTTCGCCGGCGCTTGACTGAGTCAGGGGTCGTGTCGGCAATGTTGAACTGCGTTGACTCCGGTGATTCTGGCCTTCAGGAGAAAGCCCTCTCCTTGCTATTGAATCTAAGTCTTGACGATGATAACAAGGTGGGCTTGGTGGCGGAAGGTGTGATAGGTCGAGTTGTGGCTGTTTTGCTGGGTGGTTCACCGAATTGCAGAGCGATGGCGGCAACTATGCTGACCAGCTTGGCGGTTTTGGAAGTAAATAAAGCCACGATTGGTGCATACCCATGTGCTATTGAAACTCTGGTTTCGCTTCTTCGGAATGGTAAAGGGAGAGAGAAGAAGGAAGCTGCCACGGCGCTTTATGCGATCTGCTCTTTTCCTGATAATCGAAGGAGAGCCGTAGAATGCGGGGCGGTGCCTATTTTGCTGGGAACTGTTGGCTCTGGGCTTGAGAGGGCTGTTGAAGTTCTAGGTATTCTGGCTAAGTGTAAGGAAGGCAGGGAACAAATGGAAAGCTATCATGGATGCATACAGATTCTGGCTCGGGTTTTGAGGAATGGAAGCTCGAGGGGAGTTCAATATGCACTGTTGGCACTGAGCTCTCTTTGTTGTTGTAGTGAAAAAATGAGACTGCAGGCTACAAAAGAAGGAGTTTTGGAGATCGGTCTTGCATTGCTGGACGATGATAACGAGAAAGTAAGGAGAAACTCATCGAATTTGGTTCAGGTTCTGCGTGGCAACCACTGGACAAAGTGATATGAAAGTCAAAATATTTTTAGGTGATGGAAAGAATCAGTTTTGAGAAGAAGATTTCTTGTCTTGTCCCCTGATGAGGTTGAGCAGGGTTTCTCTTTATTGACTCTACCCTGTTCGGTAGTCCCTGTACAAAAAAGAAGATAACAATTTTATGGTAATAGGGTTCTTTTGTATCTTGTACATCTGAATAAAGATGATGGAGCAGATCTGTGTTGTTGGCTGTTTAGAATGAGAAAGGTGCCAATCGATCCTGTGAATTGTAATCTTTCAAAGTTACAGAGTTTTTCTTTCAATCAAGGCCTGTATGCTGTGTTAATTTCTAGCTGTCGTCTTTCAGCTGCATCAATCATCTATTAGATAGTCAAAGGGAACGTATGTACCTGTTTAAGAGACGAAAGTCGCTCGCTGATGTACTTCAAATATTACTTAGGAAGAGTAAAACTACAATCTACAGAGATAATTCAGATTTTATGAGTTTCTTGGGACAGGAAGAACAAAGTTTTTATCAAGACATGGTTGCTGATTTTTGTAAGAAAGTTAACTTCAACTATTGAACTTTAGCAGAAAAAAGGCTCTTACTACTATCATCATTTGTCATGGATCAGGGGAAAAAGGGTTATTTACTTATTTTACTGAAAGATCAAATTTTCAGGGTAATTCCTGCTCAAACCTGGAGGATCATACTATTTGTGCAGTCATCTATGTCATGGATATGATAACTCTAAATACGAACTGTGGCGCCGCGGTGAATATAATCAAACTGTTAGTGCTAGTCATTCTAACTGAATAATTCTGATTTGTTAAGTAGTTGTTGTTGATAGAATATTTGCAAATTCATTGTTTTCTTTAATTGTTCACACATGCACAATTCAAGTGTTTTGCTTAGTTCCCTCATTAGTGTGTTACTATAATAATGGATTCCATATCTGTTCTTCGAATGATCATATAATCATGAATAAGCTAGGTTCATGACATATGAAATGATAAAATGCATCTCATAAAATTCGTTGTTTTCTTATCCCTAAGACGGTAACTAATCCTTTTGTAGCATGATAGATGACAAATTGCTGGGTTGGTCTACAAGTGTGGCAAGGGCAACGTTTTTTGATCTTATGGTTGCATCAAACTTTTGAGTTCGTTGGTGAATGTTTTGACTTCTAAAATCTCTGAATAACTGAGGACAAAATACTAATTACCAAATGAAATCTCTTGAATCACAAGTGTACATGAGTTATTAGACTAATTAAATGGCATTGCTCCCTTTCATTGTTCATTTCATCTATTATTATTTTTCTTGTTTAAAATCCTTTTGTTTGTCTTTGAAGCGAAGCAAAATTCTAAATTCATCACGAGACATGGAGGACAGATTTCGGGTACAGGATCCTGGCCCTACATTACACGACAACGTTAGTTATTGATAATGAGCATTTTGTATGTCTAGCTTGAGAAATTCTCTTCTTTACAGAACAAGCAGTGGATGCTCTCTGCCCTGGTTTCTGTCATATCATATCAATCGCTCTCAGTTTCTCCGCCAGATTAAGTTATTGAAAAATGACAATGTGCCTGGAAAGTGGAGCAAGTCTGTGCAGGCTCGGTGATCTGCTGGCAGAAAAAGACGAGCTATAGGCCTACAGCCTATAACTGTTAAGTCACGGAACTTACATCAGGCCCCTTGAAATTTCGTACATGGCGGACCTATCTCTGCTAATTATTGAAATCATGGTGCTGTGAATACTGAATGAGGGAAGGTATTGGTTTTAAATTTTAAGAGTTAATTATCAAGGTTGTAGCTGAATCATAATTAGACCAAATTATGAAAAAAAAAATACATTTCATTGTGTGAATCAAAGTTCCAGTTCAAACATGTTCAACTAATCGAGTTAGCGTTTTTTAATACTATGCTTGAAATTTGAATTTTCAGTTACGAGTCCAGATTTCAATGAATTTGTCTTGAACTGTCTTGGATATTTATTCGTTACTGTTATGCAGGATACGTTTGGGCTGATCTCTCTCTCTCGTTGGAAGCTTCTTTGTATGCTGAAGAGTCAGGCTGCTGCACGGTTTATTATTGGTTTATATATTAATATTATTTGAGTTTGCTTCCCTAGAAGAAGCATGTTTAACCTAGTTGATTGGAAGAAACTATTTAGTATTTATTATATGTTTTTGTGTGATCCTGTTTGTCTTGTGTCGCAGATGATTATATTATTCACCACCCCAAGATTTGGAAAGGTCTTCACTCAGTTGTTTAATGTCCATGTGAGGATACTTTGGAGCTGTGCATGTTGACTTCAGGTTGATAGTAGCTGTGAGTTCTTTTTCTTAATTTTCTTTTTCTAGTTAGTCAATAGATATCACTCTTAAATAATAATAATAACGGGTTGATGATCTTCTTTTTCGACATGTGGATGAAGAATTTCGTAGTAGTTTTTGGTAGAACAATTATGTATGGATAGTCACCAGAAATAGTTTGGTCAACACCTAATATGCATGGTCTTTGCTGGCTTTCTATATACGTTTGCTTCTTTTCATACTCTCTTTATATTGCTGAATGATTCCTTACCCACTGGAAGAGGCAAACGAGGCTATAATAGGAAATGTAATATAGTTTTTGTTTTTTTTTTCCTCATATTTATTGAATTTAACTAGAGGCTAAAGTTGACTTTGAATTATGAATGTGTTAATTGACTATTTGACCCTTGATGACATTTAGTGTGGTTGATTTTTAATTTGTTGAAAGTTTATTTGACAAAAATCAGTTTAGTAAAAATTAATTGTTATAACAAAATTTATGTTTGGATAAATTTTTTTAAAAGTCAATTTTTTATACTGAAAACTGTTTGAATTATGATAGTAAAATGTGCTTTTAATGTATAATTACTAAAAAAAACATTGATTTATTATTGTTTGTAATTTTTATTATGCAAATGTAATATATTTGAAATATTTAAAAAATGTGATAAAGATTTTAATAGTATAAAACTTGATTTATAATGCTAACAACTTGATCTCTAATTATTTATACTTTTTTAATATGTAATTTTAGAGAATGTGATAAAGATTTGTAATTTTTATTATATGCTAACAATTAACATGATTAATTATTTAATTTATAATGTTAAAAACTTGATACCTAATTATTATTATTCAAATGACAATTATATTTTTAATGAATTAAAAAATTTTTAAATAAAAAATTAGAGATTAAATTTGTAATAGTATGGTCAAATAATATCATACTTTTTAAATTTATTTTTTAAAAGTTTTAAATAGTTATATTTTAAAATTTTCTTTTAACTATTATTTAAATATATTTTAAAATGTGTTTTTTTATAAAATATTTTACTTAATAATTTCTAACATCTTAAAAATAAAATTTTATTTTTTAAATATGAAACACAAATAAATGAGCCCTTAATATTTGTAATGGCCAATTTTCACCCTGAAAGAAAGGCCGAAAAAGACAAGAAAATGCACACCACGTGAGTTGGTTGCCATTTTTGTTAAATAAATTAAATGATTTCTTAATAAATTTTGTTAAAAATAAATACGTCTGTCGTATCTTCAAAATTTACGTAAATCAGTAAATCTTATAAAAAATTGTTAGTTTTTGCAAACAAAAGCCTATTCAAGTCTCATTCATGATATAGTAATATAGTATACAAATAAAAACAAAATTAAGAGGAAAAAAGAATAATATAATACTCCCTTCCTCTTGAATTATAAATGCTTGTTGGCAGATTTAACATTTCAAAATATAAAATACTGATAAAAATAAGATTTCATTAATAATATTTTTAATATTACTTTCTTCATATATTTTTTCTTTGTCTTTAATTTTTTTACAATAGAAATTAAATAAAAGATATTTTTAAATTTTTTTGTTTTTATCTTAAAAAAATAAGATAATAAAATATATTGATACATATATATATATATAAATGATTTTATTTAAAAATATTTTATAATTTGAGAAAGGTGCTAGCAGACAAGAGGCAATTTGACCATGGTACTACAAAGAAAAAATATTTATCAATATGTTATACTTTTAAAAATATTTCTTCAAATATTACAAATTTAAAACTTGGTTCCAACGACATTGAGTTCCAAAATCTTTTTACAGAAAGTACAAAATTTGCACTTATATTTAAAAGGTTTTAAAAATAATGTGACATGTGATTGTATTTATAATTTTTCTTCCCTCTTTACTTGTTTCTAAAGGTGATAATTTAGTCAAACTTATTGGGTAAATCCAAACTCATTCAATAAAATTTAAGGTCGAGCTTAAAATTTTTTTTTTTATGTTTGTATCTATTAGCCCAAATACTCAAATAAAAAATTTTTTATTTTTTAAAATATATAAAATATAATTAAATATTAATTAATTCTTTAAATTTTAAGTCATTTTATACTAAAATATTATATTTGAGTGCTATATATTATTTAAATATAAAAAAACATATTTTATATTTTTTATAAAATAAAATAATTAATTTTAAAGTAAGAAATTTAATTAATTTTAAATAAAAAATAAATTACTTTTTTTACTTTAAAATTTATTAAATTTTTATTTTAATTAATTTTTTACTTTAAAATTAGTAGGTTTGAATATCCAAATTTTATTTTTAATTAATTTTTAAATATAAGTATAGAACTTGGCTTTTATTTTCTTTAAAAAAATAAAATTTGATATCACTAGAACAAAATTTTAAATTTGTAATATTTAAAAAAATATTTTTTAAAATATGGCATTTTTTTTTTCTTTATAGTACCATCGTCAAATTGACGAGACAAGAAAACGCAATTATGTTTTCTCAAAAGGCGTGTTTGGCGTTTGAATAAAATAGCTTCTTCTCTCATTTCTTTCTTCTTTTGTTCATTCTCATGTCTTCGTAATCTTTAATAAATGTGTTCAAAATCGATTCAAATTAAAGGGATTGAGTCAAACCAATTCAAATCAAAAGAAATCAATCAAAATTAAACAATAATCAAGTCTGTTTTAATTTTTATAATATGAAAATTGATTAATTTGATTTAAGTTTGGTTGTGAGTACTAGAAACCAAACCAAACCAAGTCAAACCTGATTAAAAATACTATTTATTTATTTATAAAATATATGATCATTTATCTATGAGAAACATTTGTTTTGAATTTTTTATAGTAAGATAAATATTTTTAAAGGATTTGAATGAAAATACATGATATTAAATAATTATAATAATTATGTTATGACCATCATTTAATTATTTATAACTTGAAAGCTTCAGTATTTAATTTATTTATAAGAAACATTTTATTTTAAATTTTCTATAATAAGTTTTTCATTATTTATTAAAATATAGATATATAGATAAACATTTTCAAAGGAATTTAAATAATTTTAATGTTAAAAACTCATATCAATTTTTATGATTAATTATCGTTATCACATTGAAATTTTATTATATTTTTATACCTCTACTTATGAAAAAAAGGAGCTAAAAAGAGTTAGATTTAATTTTAATATATAGCACCATTATGAAGATGAAAAAAAAAGAAAAAAAATTAAAGAAGTGCATTGAACCCTGATGCAGACTTTAATCAACCGAACCAAATCAAAAATTGAACCAAATCACATTGGATTTCATAAAAATCGATCAGGTCCTAGTTATGAGCCAATCGAATGATTCGATTTGGTTTGGTTACCAAATCAAACTGAGCCTATGAACACCCTTACTAGTCTTTGATTTTATATATTGTACTCTCTTCATCCTTAGGTACAGGATATTTTTTTAAAAGTTTATTTTAACATAATATTTCCAAGTTATTAAATAGTTTTATTCTTATCTTAAAAAAAAGAGGTATTAAATATTAATTGACTGTAATAATAATTATGAGAGATACAATTAAAAATTTATTATGATTTAAGATAATTTCAACTAAATAATAAACTATTGATATTTGGGGATTCGGTTAAATTTTTTTTATATATAAGTTGGGGAGGAGTATAAATTATTTTTTAAAAGAAATACATTATTCTTTTTGTAATTAAGTTATTTTATATAAAATGTAAATCATTAATTACATTACTTTAATTTTATCTCATTACAATTTTGGATGAGCAGTTGGTAAAAAATTACACTATTGAGAAAATATTTTTAAAAATAATGTATTTAATAAGAATAAATTAAGAAAATTTTATTTTTTATTAAAAATATAAGATATTTTTAATTAAATTTTATCCCTCAATAGAGTAGTTATTTATTTTTAAATTAACATTATCTTTTTATATTTTCTCTATTTAATAGGATACTTCACTTTGATTAAAAAAGTATTGATCTGTTTAAAATTATTTTTATTTTATTGTTTTCAAAATAAGTGTTTTGTAGAACATGTTTTGAGAGCAAAAAAAAATGAAAGTAGGTGTTTTTTAATTTTTTTCTTATTTCTTAGAACAATAATTTTAGAACATCTAAAAAATGTTTTGGTTTTTCTATCATCTAGAACAATATATTTTTTTGTTTTTTAAAATATTTTTTAAAAACACATTATCATACAATTTTTATTTAAGCTTATATTTTCTTTGGAACGGAGAAGTTTGCCCTCTAGCTTAAGTCGGTGCGGATCGTCTTCCAATTTCCTATTGAATAAGTTGTGTTCCCACTGTTGACTTGTATCTAGTTTTTTTTTTTTTTTTTGGTCGGTTGGTTTGCTTAGTTTGGTTTAAACCACCAAAAATCCTTAAACAGGACCTTGTTATGGATATGGGATTAAAGTCGTCTGCCTTTCACATCACATATTCTAACATCATTCTAGATCCTTACTGTAATATTATTTTTATACAATTAAATATTATTATAAAATAGCAATATTTCAGACTTGTCAAATAAACTTTTAACTTGAGCAAAACAAATTTCTCTTCCGTATAAATCCCAAGGCCCAGTTTTCCAAATGGGCTCAAGACCACAGCCCAGTTTTCAAAGTGGGCTCATATATAGGCTTAGATTGGGTTTGAAAAGCCCAGCAACTTCACCAACACATTTTTGCACTTCTAAAATCATATGAGCATTCTATGAATAATAAAAAGTCATATATGTGAATGCTAAGAAGGTCTTTGAGAGAATTACTTTCAATTGAATTTAATAATATTTTTTCAAAAAAAATGAAGGGAAGAAAATCTCAATTGTTTTGGCAAACAACAGACAAGTAAGAATATATACTGATTTAAAAAGAAAAAGAAAGAGAAAGCAAGAGCGGGATTGTAGGTAGTGATTTGGTTGATTGAGACAAGGAAGGAAAAGAGAGAAAGAAAGATGTTTATTGAAAGTGAAGAAACTTCGAGGAAGGAAAAATGGAGTGATGCGTGCATGAAATTGTGAAGAGTGAGTGACATTTATAATAAAAAGAAATAGGAAAAATGATGAAACTTTCAATAATGGTATCCCCCTTTCAGGCTAACACTCTCATTCAATTCCCTATCATTACCCACTTGAATGCCTCCTGCCCCACCCACCACTTCCCAATAGCTTTTTCTTCCATTTATAATATCTA